TATCGGCTCGTCTTCTTTCCACTCTCACCGGCGGCGCATCATGAGAAAAGCTGGGGAACAGCCTCGAAGCCAGGATAACACTGTTGATGGAGACTCCAAGATGTTGCTGGTGGGAGCCAGAAGATGCTATCAACAACAAACCGAGGATTTGCTCGAAGTGGGGAGGGTTGGACAACCATACTAGATATGTCTAGATAGAACCAGTGAGGCCTAACCTCACTAGCTTCCTGACAAAACCGAAGTTGGTTGTGCTTCAACAAGAAGCCAGAAGTCAGAAGGCCTATGTTGGTTTGATATACTCTACTAAGTGATAGTAATTGTACGAGAGGAGTGGGTGGCATGGGTCTTGTAGCTAAACGAGTTTCAAGATAAGAGACACGCTTTAACTGACGCTACTGCAGGAGGAGGAAGAAGCCAAGTGGCAGATAGTGCTAGGTATCCAGTGACTAGGCGCTTGTATGTAGAAGATTAGAGGGCGAGGCGTACTTTTAAATCATGCTTTTGTCAAAAGTTAAAGTGAGATACAGAGAGCTGTGAAGCTCGATGGTTTCATCCACTTGAGCAAGACAACGCACGGGGAAAATGATACAAAGTGTGTGCACACATCTAGCTATCGCCTACCGGCCGGAGATCCAGATATATCATGCGCGTTGAGGTAATCTTAATAGTTTATCACTAATTAAGATATACATGCTTGATCCACCCATCCATTCATAGTTAGTGCAATGACTCACTGTCAAGGACTATATGTCGTGGACTTAGATTACATGGTAAAGAAAAGGGAAAAGATAAAGCGTTAGAAAGTACCGTCTTTCAACACCAACCCCTTTCTTCATAGGATGGGAGGGATCTTATATCTAAAGAGAAAACTTGATTAGTTGTTCCCAACTCCCACAAGGAAGAAAAGTTAACTAATTTGCATAATTCCTTTGTGGTACACATATGCATAATTTGACCACCTGGATTGGTGAGTAAAGTTACCCCTGATTGGCCGGCCGCTTTTGATTTGAACTTTTCCACTCACTATTTCCAGCGCTAGACGGCAATAAAGAGCTAATGTAGAGGAACATGCATATGCGAGTTTCCAAGTTCTTTTCACTCATACAGAGAACAGAAGAGGAATAAGATAAACTAATTAAGGCAAGAACGTGCTATCTCCACCACCAGCCGGCGCGGCCAGCTCGCCGCACCTCCCTGCCACTACGACCACTAGCGTAGGTGCAGGGGCTGGAGCAGCAACGATGGAGGCGCGGCAAGAGGGGAAGCTGGCGTAGGTCCGGAGCCAAGCGTCGATGTAGAGAACATGGAAGGCGTGGCCGCAACGTGGGAGAACGTGCATGCTCTCCCCCTCCGCGAACTCGGCTAGGCATATCGCACACTCCGTTGCTGCCGGTTGCGGTGAAGCGGTTGTGGCGAAGGAGATGGTGGGGAGCGCATAAATTGCCTTCTTCTTGAGGCCCTTCGGGGGTGGGTTGGAGGACGAACTGGAGCTGGAGCGTCGGCGTCGGCATGCGCACCGGGAAGCAAGAGCGAGTCTGAGGACGCAAACGAGCGCGCACATCATTGACGCCAGGATGACCGCCATGTCTGAGTCCACCGTCATCAGCGCTGCCTGCTCCGGCGGTTGTTGTGGTCAAGCGGGCGACGACGATGACGTCCCTCCGGTGCCGGAGGGGGCGAGGGCGGTCGCGCGGTGCAGGACTCCTGCCGGAACACGCATGGTCTTGTTGTCTCCCGGAATGCTCTGGTGGTTAAGAGCTAGTTTTGACTGGAGCAGATGTGTTGGTCTTAGTTCTGAGCGTGGACTGCGAACGCATGGTTTTTTAGGGTCAGTGGGGTGGAGGACGACGTCCCTCCGATGCTGGAGGGGGCCAGGGCGGCCACGCGGTGCAGGACTCTTGCCGGAATGCGCATGGTCTTGTTGTCTCCCGAAATGCTCTGGTGGCTAAGAGCTACTTTTGACTGGAGCAGATGTGTTGGTCTTAGTTCTGAGCGTGGACTGCGAACGCATGGTTTTTTATAGGGTCAGTGGGGTGGTGGCGCAAGGACCAATGGGCTCCTGGACAGGTAACTGGGTCCATGCATGCCACTCGAGGATATTTGTCCATGCAACCGTGGCAGCTTGGTTTGTACTATTATCTGTTGGGTTTGGTCCATGGAAGGATATTTGTCCATGCCAATCAAGTATCTAGGGACACCACTGTTGGACTGAGTGGTAGTGATCAGTGGTGAAAATAGTAACTAAAAGTCTAACTATAGACCAGCCACTGAACCATAGTATGTGTGAAAGGATGACACACACTTTAGCACTTTTAGATCGTGCTATGCTAAAAAAAACAACAAAATTGTGGTGCTAAGAGCATCTCCAACTAGGGACATTAAATATTTTCCATATGTCCGGATGGACAACCACGGTAGTGTCGGGCTACGAGAGAAGAAATATACTATCCAACCAATCTCCCAAATCGTCTTCATATGTTTGGGATGTCCACTCATATGTAAGGAGTAAATGAGGGTGTTCGGACAGCTCACCATGTTAAATTCAGACCAAGTATCTCTTCTTTTTTTCTCTTTTTTTCTCTCTCCTTCTGGTTTCTCCATCCCCGCCATTTATATGTTTGTGAATGGACAATTTGAGGTACACAACTGCATCAACAGACAAATAAAGGTTCAATGTGTACATGCCAAACACTGTCTGGTTGTCTCTATAGACATGTAAGGGGTCAGATTAGGCAAGTCCGATTGGAGATGCTCTGTGTACTTTTATTTTTGGAAGTGAAGCGGGGAAATAGGTAGATTCCAGGCCCCTTTTGACAAAAATCATGTTTTGATCATTTTTAATTAACTATTATTCTCTTTTTCTTTTTTCCAGCGGTGAAGGGTACTAGTACACTCCTACATGCATGAAACTTCAAGGATTTGTTTGATTTAGTATGGATTATGTTTGGATTGAGAGGGGGTTGGCATGGAACTTAGCACAATGCTCTACAAATCCCCTTTTTCAGTAGGCAAGGGCATATATTATTAAAATTGTCCAGTTCTTATTAAACCATCATTACAAAAATAGAAAATAAAACATATATCTTTGGTTGTATTGGTGTCGTCATCTTTCCACTCTCACCGGCGGCGCATCATGAGAAAAGCTGGGGAACAGCCTCGAAGCCAGGATAACACTGTTGATGGAGGCTCCAAGAAGTTGCCGGTGGGAGCCAGAAGATGCTATCAACAACAAACCAAGGATTTGCTCGAAGTGGGGAGGGTTGGACAACCATACTAGATATGTCTAGATAGAACCAGTGAGGCCTAACCTCACTAGCTTCCCGACAAAACCGAAGTTGGTTATGCTTCAACAAGAAGCCAGAAGTCAGAAGGCCTATGTTGGTTTGGTATACTCTACCAATTGATAGTAATTGTACGAGAGGAGTGGGTGGCATGGGTCTTGTAGCTAAACGAGTTTCAAGATAAGAGACACGCTTTAACTGACGCTACTGCAGGAGGAGGAAGAAGCCAAGTGGCAGATAGTGCTAGGTATCCAGTGACCAGGCGCATGTATGTAGAAGATTAGAGGGCGAGGCGCGCTTTTAAATCATGCTTTTGTCAAAAGTTAAAGTGAGATACAGAGAGCTGTGAAGCTAGATGGTTTCATCCACTTGAGCAAGACAACGCACAGGGAAAATGATACAAAGTGTGTGCACACATCTAGCTATCGCCTACCGGCCGGTGATCCAGATATATCATGCGCGTTGAGGTAATCTTAATAGTTTATCACTAATTAAGATATACATTCCTGATCCACCCATCCATTCATAGTTAGTGCAATGACTCACTGTCAAGTACTATATATGGTGGACTTAGATTACATGGTAAAGAAAAGGGAAAAGATAAAGTGTTAGAAAGTACCATCTTTCAACACCAACCCCTTGCTTCATAGGATGGGAGTGATCTTATATCTAAAGAGAAAACTTGATTAGTTGTTCCCAGCTCTCACAAGGAAGAAAAGTTAACTAATTTGCATAATTCCTTTGTGGTACACATATGCATAGTTTGACCACCTGGATTGGTGAGTAAAGTTACCCCTGATTGGCCGACCGCTTTTAATTTGAACTTTTCCGCTCCCTATTTCCAGCGCTAGACGGCAATAAATAGCTAATGTAGAGGAACATGCATATGAGAGTTTCCAAGTTCTTTTCACTCATGCTAGATTATGCATGATACTACTAGCTCTTGTCTTTTTTGTATTGGCAGTGAGCTTGCTTTTATGATATGAACAAAATTCTCTTTGTTTCATTAATTGGTTTATGCTATATAGATTGAAAAAGGGGGGAAGTGAAATCATAGTGAGATAGTATGGGCCTTAAATTTTCCTTGATATTTGTGTCAAGGAAGTAAATGCAAATAACCATGACAAAGATGGATGTTTCACCAACCTTGGGTATGCGAATTTGATAAAGATTTTTTTAGCTCTTTGACTGCACGAAGAAATATTATGAGCGCAGGCAATTTCATTATTATTGAAATGTACTAAAAAAGATTACATTTGTTGGAAGACTTTGAATGAAAACGCATCCGGATCAAGGCTAAGTGACCGCGTTAGTAGGGACTAATTGGAGAAATGCTTTAAATCTCATTTTCTAGGTGTGCTTCTATCCAAAGTGGAAGTGAAATGCAAAAGAGCTATCGATACACATATTTCCAAATTGGAGACATGCTTTAAATCTCATTTTCTAGGTGAGATTTAAAGCATGTCTCCACCTCCAAGAGTAAAACGATACAAAGTGCATGTACCCACTTAGGTATAGCCTACTATAGATCTTATTATGCGTGTTGAGGTAATCTAAATATTTATCACTCAGATATACATGATCTAACCAGAGTTAGTGCGACATCAAGGATTGCCTATCTACCTATCTAGAGCATTGTCTAATCCTCATTGTTAAATTTTTTTGGCTGGTCACCATTTTCGGCGTTAGATGAGAAAGAGAAGAAGATGGAGGGAGAGGAACATATGCAAGTTGCAATAAAGACCTTTTTGACTCAAATGGCCATTGATGATACTAGTAGCTTGTCTTAATTAATCAGTCGATCAACTTGACAATGTATATATAGTGCAGTTTAAAGAAAGCTTCTATCTCTCTATCTATCTATGGTGCGGCATCTCGTCGTGTTATATATGATTGATCCCCTATTATCGGTTAGGTTGTCTCTCCATGCGTGCTTGATTAGTTAGTCAACAAACTGAGTCCATTCCTCTGCTCTAGCCTCCGGCCTGCATGCTACTCTCACTATGAGTACCTCTCATGCACCAACTTTCACTAGTGTGGCTACATGTGATCAGACATACACGTACCTCACATGGGATTATTTTGGTTCGAACAGACTGCAGACACCTAATCCATGGACACAATTTGGTGTCAAAAATCAGAATGATCACAAGATTGTTAATCTGGCCATGTGATACTTCCATTTTGCATCATGCTTTTATATCGATATTTATTGCATTATGGGCTGTTATTTCACATTATGTCACAATACTTATGGCTATTCTCTCTTATTTTATAAGGTTTACATAAGGAGGGCGAATGCCGGCAGCTGGAATTCTGGGCTGGAAAAGGAGCAAATATTAGAGACATATTCTGAACAACTCCAAAAGTCCTAAAACTCCACGGAATACCTTATAATAAATAATGAAAAATCCTCGCCAAAGATGAAGACCAAGGGGCCCACACCCTGTCCACGAGGGTGGGGGGCGCCCCCCTAGGGTGCGCCCCTACCTCGTGGCCCCCCTGGTGGATCTCCGACGACCATCTTCTGCTATATGAAGTCTTTCGTCGAGAAAAAACCCAGAATCAACCTTTCGGGATGAAACTCCGTTGCCACGAGGCGGAACCTTGGCGGAACCAATCTAGGGCTCCGGCAGAGCTGTTCTGCCGGGGAAACTTCTCTCCTGGAGGGGGAAATCATCGCCATCGTCATCACCAACGCTCCTCTCATCGGGAGAGGGCAATCTCCATCAACATCTTCATCAGCACCATCTCATCTCAAAACCCTAGTTCATCTCTTGTATCCAATTCTTGTCTCCAAGTCCGCGATTGGTGCTAGTAGTGTTAATTACTCCTTGTAGTTGATGCTAGTTGGTTTAATTGGTGGAAGATCATATGTTTAGATCCTTTATGAATATTATTATTCCTCTGATTATGAACATGAATATGCTTTGTGAGTAGTTACGTTTGTTCCTGAGGACAAGGGAGAAGTCTTGCTATTAGTAGTCATGTGAATTTGGTATTCGTTCGATATTTTGATGAGATGTATGTTGTCTAGCCTCTAGTGGTGTTATGTGAACATCGACTACATAACACTTCACCATTATTTGGGCCTAGAGGAAGGCATTGGGAAGTAATAAGTAGATGATGGGTTGCTAGAGTGACAGAAGCTTAAACCCTAGTTTATGCATTGCTTCGTAAGGGGCTGATTTGGATCCCTATGTTTCATGCTATGGTTAGGTTTACCTTAATATTTTTGTTGTAGTTGTGGATGCTTGCAATAGAGGTTAATCATAAGTGGGATGCTTGTTCAAGTAAGAACAACACCCAAGCACTGGTCCACCCACATGTCAAATTATCAAAGTACCGAATGCGAATCATATGAACATGATGAAAACTTGCTTGACGATATTCCCATTTGTCCTCAGGAGCGCTTTTCCTTATATAAGAGTTTGTCCAG